CTATACAAGGCTTTTAAGCTATACTAGCTTCCTGTGACTGTGTTCCCCCACCCCCACTACTTGGTGAAAAAACTATAGTCTAAAAACAACCACAAAAAAGTCACTTGTAGTTGTGGATGTGGAGCTCTTCAGGGTGGACTAACCAACCAGACTCTCCTGAAAAATACAGTCAGGAGGGCTACTGAGTTCTTTTTTTAATCCATTTGAAATGACAAGTGACAAGTTTGGTGCCCCTTTCTCATATCCACTGACGTCATACAGAAGGATAAAGAGGATTTTCCCACCACCCTGCTGTTGTACTGAAGGCAGTTCATTGTGTCCATATCACTCCCCTGACATGTTGGACTTGTCTTGATCTCTGCCACTAACAGATAGTGACAGACTCTTTTATCCACAAACACCACCTTTGTTACGCACTTCCACTTGAGAGAGACTAGAGCAGCCTAAACACTTTTAAGAAATGGTATCAGTTGGATATTAGAATGAGGTAGATCTGCGCCTGTGTTTTACCTTGACAGGTAGTTTTACATCCTTAAATTACATGTAGGCTGATTATGCGTGTGAAACTCTCAAACAGGGCTGACATATACAGGATTACCAAAAAACGACTGGCCAGATTTTCATGAAACTTTGAAGCTTGGGCCACTGAAGAACCCATTACATGTTGCAGTTGATCTAAATCAAATAGGGGATACATAAACTATGTTGAGAGGCATTTAAGTGAAAGCATCACTTTAATTAATTGAAATTAAGTGTTATCGGCTACATATAACTCAGAACATGTTTTGAATCTACAATCTCAAACTAGTGGGCTACTACAGCTGTCCAAAGCACAGTGGTAAAAAGTAATCCTTCACTCTTCCTTTCAGAAATGTAGTCAAAGTAATTGTAGTTACCTTTTACCACTCTGTTTTTGGAATAATTAGTGCTTCAAATCCATTCATAAAGCTACATGTGACTCTGAATCACCCCCCTGAATCGGTTTTGACCCCGACATGACATTTCATCACACCAAACGTTCTGTATAAACCAACTAGTTGATGCAGTCACATTCACTGACAGTTAATCAACTCAAATTCCAATAAAATGTAGGCCTCTGACGTCAGACGATTTTTAATGGCGTGGTAGCTAAACAATGAGTTACAAATTGTACAGGACGTGACGACACCGAGTATTTAAATAATTTCGAAATAATTGAATTCGACAATTTTGTCCACACATCTTTAACGAGTGGGTTAGTTTAAATCCGTTATTTTGCTAACACCGGAATATATTCAGTCAATTATCAGCTTGTTATATGAAGTAGTGCTGCGAGCAGTGTTATGGTTTTACATTTCTAAGAGTATTTTGGTGAGAACGTTAGTACACTTTATAACTGACAGTTACGGTAATATGACCACTGGTTGTTTAATTATAATAAATCATTGTATTTGTATTTCACTATATTTAATAGTTTAAAATGCAATTGTAAGCACCCAAAAAAGGTGCATTATAATCAAAGACCCGTGAGATATTACTACAAGGCATAGTGCAGTTAAAGTGAGTGTGGTTTTAGATTACGTAGGTTGGGTGACATATGGCAGGTGAGCCCAGCTCCGTTACCTTCACAATGCACTATCGATCAGGCGATTTGATAACGTAGCATCGATTAAAAAGAAAAAGAAAAGCTGTGTCCTGTAAGTGACGAGTAAAAAAACGGAAGCAACAAAAACGACAAACCGTATAAATAAGATAAACAGAGAAAAAAAGGAAATAAACTTACCACATCGGCTTCCGTTCAGTTTTTACACCCTTTGGAACCGGAAGAAACATTCCTGTTTTCCCCGTCTCTGAATCCAGCCTCGATTACACACAGAGAGGAAAACACCAGAAAGAGGAAGAGGAGAGGAGGTTCGTGTGTATATCGGCTGGAAATAAAGTGGTTTCATGTAACTGCATGATATCCACGCATTCGTCTTTTGCGTGTAATTGTGTTTTCAGAGTTTGAGTGTCGGGTTGAGGCAGCAGACAGCCGGAGAGAGAGAGAGGCGTGGAGAGACGCTCCGGTCTGCACGCTCACGTCATTGGTTGACAAACAGTAATCAGATGCAAATTCCTAACCTCTGAATCAGCAGGGGCCAGCCCCCCCATGCACCCCCCACCCACAGGAGCAGGGGGTGTCTGTAAATGCACGGCTGTGAATTATATAAAGTGGGCTGGGAGTGGGCACTTACTCATACACACCCTTTTTGTTCCTGATGCACACAAGTGTTTATCCTTGTCGATTATTGTAGTATACCGTTTTTATTCTTTATATAGGTCCGTTATTTTCTTTCAAATTCTGTTTTATCTTGCTTTATTTTATGTCACTATTGTATTTATTTGTATGTCTCAAGTTTTCTATGTTGCAATGTTGGAAGGGCCTGGGTCCGAAGTGTATCTGAAACGTTATACATTCAATATAGTCATCAAGTATAATTTATATTCATATTTATGTTTTTCAATTTTTAAATATGTTATGGCATATGTCATTGAGCTTGTGGTAACTTGTTTGTTGTGTTTACCTTTTCTATCGGTGTAGATTTTTAGGGACGGTCCCTTAGTGGAGAGCCCCTGTTCAGCAGTAAGGCTGAAGGGAGAAATACTGCATAAAATAAGCTTTTTTATCTTATTTAATTAAACCAGCCTTTTATAAAACTGACTTGTAGTTTTTTTTTTCATCCAAGCAAATTGTACAGCTTAAGTGTCACTTAATGACATAAAGCTTTATAACATTAATTTTGAAAAAATGAGGGTGGATCTTTTTTCTTTCAGAACACATGAGTAGCCCTACTAACTGAATGAATGATACATTGATTTTTAACACTAAACAAGAGATAGTCAGATATCACCAGACTGATAGAAACTACTAATGCTGAGTTGCAGACTTGATCTTTGGCTTATCTTGGTTTGGATGTTGTTGTTTTTTATCGAAATTAAAACCAACATTAAATGCTGAAAATAAACTACATTCAAGATATTCCTAGCCACGGTTCAATGAACTCTCGGCTTGAAATTGTATTTTCTGTTTTCGTCACACAATTATTGACAGCTCCCAAAAGTCACCAGTCATATAATCTCTTTCCAAATCTGATTTTACAGTGGGATTGCTGAGTGCAGTGACTGGTTGCAGCTGCTTACTAAAATAAAGAGCTTGAGATATTTAAAACAGAAAAATGATCCTCCCCCTGCCTTCTCAGATGTAATGGTATCCAGGAGAGAAGCGTGTGTGACACAGTAAGAAATTAAAATTAAACGGGCCAACTTTGTTAATGACAACTGTAACCACTTCACGCTTCAAATTAAACATCAACATAATGAAACACTCACTGATACGTTTCAGCCTGGGTGTTTTCAACACAGGAAATAGTTTCATACTCCCTATGATGTCGAGCAACAAAATGAAAACGTTTGTGAGAACACAAAGTGCAAAACATAAATCGGTTTTCAGAAATAATCAAGCTTTCAACACTTTGAAAAAAGTTTTAATCACTCAAGGGTTAATATTAAAAGCATTTTGTTCTACCTAATGTTCATATCTTCAAGTCAAATAAGAGTAAAAAGTACATTACATAACAGAAAATTCACACATACATATTTTGGGCAGTGTTTCTCAGCCTGAAAGTGTTTTTTTCCTTCTATCTAATACATGCGTTCACCATAAAGTGATTCATTTATTTGATGTTGATAATTTTAATGTTTCAGTTTATGTTCTTGTATATGGAGAAAAATTCATCAGATAATTGAATTTGAACTTAAACATTTAAGGGGAATAGACAAAACGAGAACATCATAAGACTTTACAAATAAATGTTTAAGCGATGCTTCAAAGCTAGGTTCAATATTAATTAGTCGTATCTGTCAGCCCTATACGTTGTGTTCATCGAATCGATGTTTGTCATTACCTCTGCTTGTTTGTTTTCATTTAATAACAGGATGTATGAAATTATGCAGTTTACTGCCAAAAAAGTTTTAGCTTTCATTGAGCTCTTTGGGTATCCAGCCTTCATTAGTAGATGATGAAGTTCACATTTAAGGTACTTGTAAGTATTTTAATCATATGACTCAAATGAATGCCTTGTTTTTACAATTGATCGATTTATGGAGTAAATGATCAGTAGAAAAATCCTTATTAATCAAAAATAACCATTAGATAATAATTGATTAGGTCCACTTCAACCGTAAAATATTTGTTCTGCATTCATTATTTTACTTTCAAATACTTCAGTTCGGTTTCCTGATAACAGTATTAGTACTTTAAGTAAAGGGTCTGAAGACTTCATCTGACTGGCTGTATTTGTTTGTACAACTACGCCCTCTAGTGCCAAGTCAGAGCAAACCCAGAGGACTCCTGGGTACCACCAGACACCACCACTAAAGGTCTACACTGTAATGTTAAACTTTACACAATTATAATTGGAGATTTTTTTAACTCAACAATCTCCAAAACTAAATATCATTCATCATCTTTTTTTATTATTAAAATCCTCTATTTATCCTGAATAAATGGGATTCTGGTATTTAATATCTTTGCATAATGCGTATCACTTGATTTCATATCTTACTTACAAAAAATGTAAATTACATGTTTGGAAGCAAACATTGGAAAAGCCTTATTACAGACTTTCAAAGTGTAAATGGAAATGAAACAGAGAATCTGCAGTGTTTGACAGAGTGATTGAAAGTCACTAAGTACATTTTACTTTATGTCAATGCAATCGCATTAATCTAGTAATTTAATTGAAATTAAAAAGATAAAATAACATTCTAAAATCACTTTCACTTTTTGATATAGATTTTGTTGCTTCTACTTCTGTAAATATGTAGCATTATAACTCCAGGAGTTGTATTTTTGCAGTTGAGTATTGCTACTTTTACAACACAAGTGGAATATCTGAATACTATGATATTCATAAAATGTTTATAAGGGAAGATGGTACATACAAAAAGGGGGCACAAAGATTACACAATCATATAAGGAGAAATATTTGAAATCCTTTTAATAGATGCAGTGATAATTATAAATAATTGCTGTTGCACACACATATAATTAAATACACAGATGTTTTTGACTAGTATATAAAGCTGTCAGAATATTTTAGGCTTCTCCACATGTTGGCACAAGTAAATCATCTGAGTTCATATTTTACAGGCACAACTACTTCTATTATATTTAAAAAGTTGGCAGCGCCCCGCCGTGTTGGGGTGAACATGACCAAAACAAGTTCATGTTGAAGGAAGTTTACAGTACACAGTAGATGACACCATGTGAGATGAACTACGTGACATTCAGAGAGAGAAGTTTAGAGCCTGAGAAATGTCATTTCAACGCAAACAAACACACACCCTTTGGTTGACAACAAAATGCACCATGTCAAGTTTTTTTACACATTGTTTCCAAAATCCAGTCAAGTACAAATGTAGAAAAAAACATAGAAACTTGTATTCATAAGGCAGAAGTGCTGTTGTAAGAGTTAATGTTCATACAGAGTCAAAACTCTGCAGGCTTTTATCATCAAAACAAAGTAACATGGTTTTATTTCTACCAGTGTAACACATCTATTGGACATTCTACTTAAAACCGTAGTAACAATATTACATGTTTACGTGAAAAAAATATGCTTGTAATTTTATGCTTGTGTGTAAACCTAGTGAGCATTATGCATGTAGCAATAAAGCCTTAAATACATCGAAATGTACAGACATAAGCAGTTTATGACTATAGTACAGTTCCTTTACTTGTCTTTGATTATTGACTGATATAACACTCACACCTCGTCTACCCCAGTGTGCATTGATAGCAGCACATGAGCAACCTGTTCAGCCACAGTGCTGCCATACTATATATACACAATCATGTACTTTAGTGTGTATCGGGGAAAAAATGTTCTTGACGCCGAGTAGTCGAGGTGATAACACTTGACAAAGCCAGCAGAGAAAGACAAAATGAAAGAAATATCCAATAAATTGTACCTTAAAAGAAGAAGAAACTTAAGAATGACTTTCTCAGCAAAGAATTTACTTCTGTACCTCAGATGAAGAGTGAAGTGTCTGTGCATATAATGTAGAGATGATACATGTTCATGCCTCACACCTCACCACTTATACTAATCCTAGGATGACCCTACAGGCAGTGATATATTTCCTTATGCATACCTCAGTCTTAGCACCTTTGCAACATGTCTCTATGACTCCTTGCAGCCTGCACAGAGCTGCACAGATATATTTGATACAAGTCTGTTATTTAAGTAATTATTCCATCACTTTTTAGGTTAATATTGTCATTATGTACTGTTCTGAATTTGTGCTTGGAAAGAAAGATGTTTTACTTAACAGTAGTTTCTAAATGCTATCATTTGCGCTGTGAAAAGGGACAGATAGATCAACTCTTGACTAACCGTTGCTCTAATATACAACTCATAAATGAATTTGAATGCTAATCTCAAGGATTATGAACAGTTGCCATTTGTTATTTGGAAATTGAAACAAGTGTGATTTGTTTGTATTATGTATACTGTGACGACCCCTCCACACCACGTGGGGTGCCGTCTGTTTGTGTGTGTGTGGTTTGTGGGTGTTCGCAGGTTCAGGTGCTGTTGAGCCGCACCTGTGGGCGGATGCCTACCTGATGAGCTACACCTGATGAAGCGGGATAAAGGAGGAGCCCAGCCGGTTGCGTCGCTCTCACTCCTCTGGGCACTTTCTCTACGCCAGTTTCGGGGACCTGATGCTGGTGTCTATTTAGTTTGTTGTGTTTAAACAATAAACTATATTATTCTTACCTCTCGTCTCGCCTCCCTGCTTTATGTTACAGCCCACGAGCCGGGTTGTAACAATACCTAGTTGTGAATTCCAGATCAACAATCAGGTTGTGAGGTTAGAATATTCTTAAAATGAAGAATTAACAATCCATATAACATTATTATGTTAATGAATTGACTTGGAAAACATTTGATCCCAAGAATGAAAACAGTAGTTCAATCGAGCCACACAGCTCCATGATGCTTTCTTTCCACACCAGACAACACCATTTTTGGTTGAATGAGAAACTGCTTTGAGAACACGGACCATTTTCTGTTTGGCAGAAATTAAAGCATTTTGCCTGAGGATAAAATCTAAAGGGTTATTCTCAAGGCAAGGAAATTACTCAGGCTTAGCTTTGAGCTGAATTCTATCTGCGGCATACTCACATGCCAACAGTGAGCATGCTAACATGCTAATGTTTAGGATGTATATCCATCTGCATTCAGGCGTTGATAAACTCTCACGTATTTATGGATACAGAAACCAGAGACCAGACAGAGGAAAAAGGAAGGAAGGAACCAGGCGGACGTTATCCAGACAAATAGATTTATCTCCACCTGTCGGAGCGCCTGGCTGCCGCAGAGCTCTGAGGAGGAAACATGGCTCAGCTCATCTGCTCCAAGTGGGCCGACAGCAGGAGCCCAGGAGGAAGGAACTCTTCCTGCTTGTTCACCACCTCAGTCTGACGGGACCCGTTGTAGTCGCTGCCTGAAGGTTCAACAAAGAAAAATAGACTTTGATCTCTCATGCGACTGAAAAAACCTTTAGCTGGCCTTTTACGTGCAGCCGGACTGCGTCAATACGATTATACAAACACAATCATCTCATTTGTATGAAACGTAGAGTTCAAAAGCTTTAACACAACTGTTTGTGTGCTGAGGTCAGGTTTTTATAAGTATGTTTGTCAATTATAAGCAAGGCATTGATTTTTATTGATGCATTTCAAACACAAATATTAGGAAGCGATAGAAAGCATTATTTTCCACTCACTTGCAGAGACGAGGTCCATGTACTGGCAGACGGCGTGAAGCAGCAGTCTCTCAAAGCTGATTCACAAAAAGAGATATTATTTTCCCCTCAGTGTTTTCTAACCATTTGTAGAAACAATCATCAAGTTTCCCAACATACGTCAATAAACTTGGTCTCTGTTTTTGTTTAATGTCGATCATTTGAGATTTGTACCCTTCCTGTTTTGTTTAATGTTTGTCCTGCTGTTGCTACCTTCCTCCCTTCATTGTGTGAGTCATGTAATCTAACACAAACTGGTTTTCCAGGTGGGGAAACATGACCAAGATGTATGACCCAGAGCTATTAGCCTGCATGTCTGTCAGATGAAGTGTTTAAACAACAAAAGGTTGCTGCATCGGTGGGTTCTGTTGTTTCAGGTACCCGTAAGAGTGGAAACAGGATCCAGGAAGTTCAGCTTCAATAACGCATCCATGAGGGGAGGCTTATCAGATGACAACATAGAAGTTGGGCATTTATAATGGAAAGGATTTCAAATCATCCTACATGATGTAACTTTTGGAATTAAATATGTAGGTGGAATACTAAAGATGTACAATGCCTGCCAATAGGACGTCATCTATCTCTCTATTTGAGGGGAATTCAATGAAAAGCTTTTTTAAAACCTGCATATACACTGAATTAGGGCTGCTCGATTATGGCGAAAATCATAATCTCGATTATTTGGGTCAATAATTGATATCACGATTATTAAAAACGATTATTATTTACTTTGAAAACATCCATTTATTGAAAAAATTATTTGAACAGCATGTTTTTAACAGTTGATTACCCTGAACTTTAAGTATAATTCAACTGAAAAACCACAAAAAAAAAAAAATAAATAAAAAAATAATAATCGTTTTATTTCGATTACGTTGTTTTCGTAATCGTTGCAAGCCATAATCGTAATTGCGATTAAAATACGATTAATTGAGGAGCCCTACTTCATTGTGGCTCTAACAAATAATATATTGAAACAAATCTCTACTCGTGCAATGAAAATCATAATAGATGCTCTTATTTGAGCGTTTAGTCAAACTTTTCTCAGATCTCTTTGAGAACTCATGCCACCTCTCACAGAAGAGACCTCTCCAGAGTCTTGTGAAGCTAAAACCAGAGACAACCTGAGAGCCCATCAGCCTCGGAGCGGGTTCAGAGGGCCTCTAAAGCAGCGGAGCAGGGACAATGTTCCCACCCTCCCCACAAAGGGCTCAACACCCATCTTCCAACCCAGTCCTCCGGGTCACACCGAGCCTTGAATAAGCTCCCTTCCTAAAGCTTCTAGGGGTTTCAGCCATGCGTCCAGAGCATCAATAGGAATAGTGTTCCTCCCCCCACAATGGCCAAATCAACTGTGGGAGCACTTTCTCCTTCTCTTCGCCCCTTTTATTCTCGCCCTGCTCAGACCTTGCTGGGGCTGAACAGAGGAGAGAAAGGGCACATGCCTTCACGTCCGCTTCACACGCACACAAAGAGAAAAATCAAATTGCTCAGACATGCACGCATGCGCACACGCAGGTATGAGCGCATGCTTACACCTCTTCTAATACCACGGGGGATAACAATGAGAGTGAGTGAGAGGAAGGGAAATACTGAATGGTTTGGCGCCTTCAGAAAAAACACCTTCAGTTTGAAAAATGTCCTTCAAATGAGCAATGGAGGAGAAAAGCACTGGGGCTTTCTCATGAGGTTTTGCAGCAGTTTGTAAAAAATATGTGCGTATCAAACCAAGGCTGCAACAAATGAGTATTTTTATTTCCTCCACATATGCATAATATGCCATTTTCTGCCACGAAGGCTGTCTGAATGAAAAAAATAACAAAATACAGAGTTTAGTGTCGTTTCGAAGAAGCGTGGGAGTTGTTGTTTCAACATAAAAATCCGTTTTTCTCCACCACCTGATGCTAACGTTTGCTCCGCTGATAACTGAAAATCCAGACGTCCACTGACTGAAATCCTTAATGCAGTTACGATTGTATCATAAAAATATGGTTTTAAATGGGTAAACATGTCAATTTACGACAGCTTCTGGCAGAAAAACACATTATCGAAGCATGTGCAAAGCTAAAATGTCGCTAGTACTTGGCGACTAAGTGAAAAGCAAAGTCATAAAGAAAATCTCAGAAATATGGAATAATGGAAGAACGCAATTCAACAAATTACTTCAGCCTGTAAAATTGTAGAAATATATCCATCACAAGTTTCCAGAGACCGCGGTAACATTTTCCAATTGCTTGTTCTGTTTGACAGTCCAAAAACTAAAAGATATTACAATTTTAAGCATATAATAAAAAATTATATAAAGTAAAAGTAGCAATCCCTCAGATTTAAGAGGCTATAAACGTTGACAAAAGCCCTCAATAACAAACACTAAACCTTAGAAATGTACATGTTTGAGTTTCATGTTAAACCAAGCTATATTCCTGCCTGACAGACAGCTTGCCCCTAATCTCCACTCACCCTTTTGGAGGTACAGTAATAACAACACAGGAAAGGGGAGGGTGAACAATGATGATAACGTTCCCGGGACAAATTGAGACTGTTGGGTCGCGTCAAGCATTAATTAGCGAGGCAGCAGACAGAGTGCAGAGACGCTGCATCCGTATCGCATTTCACACATGACGAGGTTGTGTGTTGAGGCAGACAGAGGCCAGGTTACAACCATAGAACACACACACACACACACACTCAGAAACAATGACTTCTTGGGTAGGCTGAAGGGACCCAGACAGACGTCGTGAAATTATTCATTTGCATCTCAGACTGCACCAACTCTGCTCACGCACATTCTCCCACTAACCTGAATACATGACTGAACTAGTAGGCTACCTGACCCAGTGCCTCAGGTCATGAAGCATTCCGTTTTTTCAGTGTGTAAACTGCAGAAATATTAGATGGAACCTGCTGTCTTTGATTTGAGGTCTGCCAATCAAAACACTAACTAGTGTTGGTGGTAAAATATGATATTATGTCCTTACTTTCGCGAGGACAAATATATGACTACAATGGACTATATCTCTCAGCGAAAAATTATATTTGAGTTGGTTCCCCTGGAATATTTTACAAGTGTTGAAAAATCTGACCAGTTCTATAACATATGTGAGTCTTATGGCGCATTCACACTACAGCGCGGAGCTCGCTTTAAGCGTGCCGAGCCGTGCACTGTTTTTGGTTGCGCTTACACTTGGCCTAGTTCCGGCCCGGGCCTACTTTTTCACCTTTTTTCTGGCCCGACTAAATCGTGGTTCTATCGAGGCCAACAACCAGGGCTGAGTCGGGCTGAGTATGCTAACCTAGAGAGAGAATCGCTGTCAAGGGGGCTACAACTACAACAAGATGAACATATTTTACCGTGATTTAATTGTAATACACGTTTCAAAATGATGCCGAAGTAACAACATACTGATACCGGTTAGTAAAAACCATGAATTAATGCTTTGACAAGTCTGCAGACAGACGGCAGGCGAAAAACCTTTTAAACTGCATGTTTTCTGAATGGAGATCGGCTAAGCGAACGCAGTATATGCTCCGACCGTCCACACTCACAACAACGGCCTTCAGACATAAATAAACCAGCGACTGTATTCTCCATGACACAGACAGTCTGTGGTTTGTACTTGTTTAACTTTTGTCTAGTTTCTGAACAGATATGAAGAGCTGTGAGCTCTGAGTGCTAAGAGCTAACGGCTGTGTTGTTTTTCTGGGGCGCTCACGGAAGATGACGATACGGCTCCGCCTACACTGCGTTACTATAGATACTACCCCAGTTCCTAAACTGTAATGTGAGCGCAGCATTAAAGTGAGCCGGGCCTAATAAGGCCTAACCAAACCGAGCGAGGCCGAGCGAGGCCTGCAGTGTAAATGCGCCATTAGTTAAATGTCCTTGGGCTTGATTTACTGTTTAGGCTATTATTGTAAAAGGAACCTCCTGAAACTGTTATCATAAGAAACGACAATCATCAAATGGATTCTCCTGTAACCTCCAATGTATGTCTTGAAACAGAGCTGTTCTTTTGTTTGTTTTTGCTTTATCATGCTTCTGTCATTACTGAGTTCGTAAAAGTTAGTCAATAAACATATTGTTAAAAAGACTAGAACCCTACATTGTGGAGTGTTTTTTATTTCTAATTATTATCTACAGTACAGTACGTACCTTACTTGTCATGTCATGTCTGAGCTGTTCTGTTTTGGATTTGAACAATTTAATAAAGATATTATATAAAAAAAAGAAAAAAAGACTGAACTAAAGTCAAAGGCATATTCCCGTTTGGGTTGGATCTGTCAAGCTGCACTTTGAGCTGACAGCTAAATTGGTCACAGAAGTCTCAGAAACAAAAGCAAGCCTCAGCCAAAAATGTGTATGTTTCTGCAGAAGACGTCACATAGCTGAGGAATGGTTTAATTTGAAATAATACGAGGCGCACTGGGGCGCAGGACCTCAATCAGGCTTCAGAGACTGTGAACGGAAAATTTGCAACATCCCTTTCAGCGCTATAGGACAGAATAATCACAGTCAGGTGACGAGGCAGCAGGGCTTTGTGTTCTGGGTATAAAGAGCATGGTGAAGACAGGCTGCCACCGCAAGTCACATCCCCAGAAACCTACCATTATATCTGCATAACATCGAGCATATGGACACTCCAACGTGGCTGCAGTCCTCTCAATGCGGAGCCACAAGCATCTCCGCTCTCCTTCAAACATCTCTGCATGTGGACAGCTTTGTTTTTCTTCAGTGTGCCCTGACCTAATTACCATGTGAATCCTGCTCAAGAAGGCCACTTTAAAAGTCTGAAATCTCTCCGCTTCACTCACATACCAGGCAAAAGGAGTAAAACAACGGATCAGCGGAGCACGTCGCTACATTCTTATTGTAATACGTTTGACAGGGTTACAAAAAAGACATTTTTATTGAAGGTGAGAAGGTTCAAGGTCTACTTATTTGTATTGCCTTTATAGCTAGTGTTTTTAAATGTGATGTCTATTTTAAAACAGGGTTTGTGTAATGGATGAACAATTTGATCTTGTGACGCTAGTTTATTCTGAAGCGTTACAGAAGGCAGTATTACA